GAAGAAATGATTCAGAAGCACCTTCCCACTTAAGCCCTAGAAGTGTGTGTATGTGTTGGTGAAATGGGTGGATATTCTGTGACCTTTTCCATGTCTATGCCCCACTCTTGTTTTAACCCCCTTGGGTTGAGCCCAGATTGGAAGCTGGTAATGACAGCTGGGTGGGTGAAGACCCAGGTGGCTGGGACAAGGCTTCATGGGACGCTGGTGTTGTGAGCCCCGCCCCACCGCACCCACCACTTAAGTGAGTCACCAAAACCAGGCCAGGCCCTGGAGTTAGCTCTCCTCCTCTGCCCCCAGCACATCTGGAAGCCAGCTTGAGCAGAGAGAGGGCTAAACTGGGGCCCAGCTTGGGGAAGGGAGGCAGGGGTGGGGAGGGAGGAATGACTCCTGGAGATGGTTTCCAGGCTCCACCCCCAGATGTGTGTATCCCTGCCCCCAGAGCCTCTAACTCTGCCCTGGCCCCACCCCAACTCCATCCCCAATCCCAACCTCATCACTCACCTCTGCCCCCTTCTCCATCCCACCACCCCACCCCTCCCCAAGTGTCCTCAAACCACCCCCCATTATCCTCGAGTGACTCCTAGAGCTCACTGCCTCCCAGCCCTGATCCCTCCCAGTTTCTAAGAGCCCTCATCACTGACCTCAGAGAACCTGGCCCCTTACCCCCAGGCTCCTAGACCCCACTCCCACCCTTCCACAGCACTGAGCAGAGGCAAGACTTGATGTGAGTTAACAGTTCCTTACCACATGAGGACTTACACAGCTGTTCCTGGTTTAGAAAGAATTCAGTCAGCTGGGCGCAGTGGCTCACGCCTGTAATCCCAGCACTTTGGGAGGCCGAGGCGGGCAGATCATGAGGTCAGGAGTTCGAGACCAGCCTGACCAACAGAGTGAAACCCTGTCTCTACTAAAAATACAAAAAGTTAGCCGGGCATGGTGGTGGGCACCTGTAGTCCCAGCTACTCGGGAGGCTGAGGCAGGAGAATCATTTGAACCCGGGAGGCATAGGTTGCAGTGAGCTGAGATTGCACCATTGCACCCCACCCTGGGCAACAAGAGTGATACTCCATCTCAAAAAAAAGAAAGAAAGAAATTCAGCCATTCAGAAGGCTGAGGAAATAACCAAAGTGCATCCTCGGAGGCAACAGGCCTATGTCTCTAGCTTCTTTCCCTCTGACCTCAGCTGCCTGCACGGTCAGAATAGGGCTCCAGGTGATGGGACCTGTGACTGGGAGTAAAAAACCAAGGAATCTCCAGGCCTACTAGAGTTTAAGCCTATCTACTGCTTATGCATGTACATATTAGACAGTATTACATGTGCATGTGCACATAATCCTGGAAACATAAACATACACAATTAATGTAAGTACAGCTAGTGCTCGACTTAGGACCACAGTCGAGACCGCAGACAGGTCATAACACGATTTGGTCATAAGTTGAACAGGCTATATGTGCAGTTGAAATGGTGCACGCGGAGATGGTAGTGCTGCTGGAAGCTGGTCCGCACTGTCGTATGCCAACTGGGCAACGTTTGCACTGCCAGACACGGAGCAGTCGTGGCTAGCGATTGCGGTCGTAAAGTAGAATGGTCGTAAGTTGCATAGGTGGTAAGTCGATCAATACCTGTATATATACACACATCTTAGATGGAATGTAAGTTCCATGAGGGCAATAACAATTTTTTTAAGGCTCTGTCACCCAGGCTGGAGTGGTGCTACCATAGCTCACTGCAGCCTTGAACTCCTGGTTCAAGCAATCCTCCCGCCTCAGCTACCAGAGTACCTAGGATTACAGGCATGTGCCATCACACAAAGCCAGGAGTTTAAAATTTTTTTTGTAGAGATGGGGCTTCACTATTTTACTCAGGCTGGTCTCAAATTCCTGGGATCAAGTGATCCTCCCACCTCAGCCTCCCAAAGTGCTGGGGTTACAGGCAATTTTTTCCCCATGATGTAGCCCCAGTGCTGGTATGTAACAAATATTTGTAGAAAGAATGACACAGCCAGGCATCATGGCTCATGCCTGTAATTCCTAGCTACTCAGAAGGCTGAGGCAGAAGGATCACCTGAGCCCAGGAGTTTGGGGCTGCAGTGAGCTATGAAAGTGCCACTGTATTCCAGCCTGGGTGACAGTGCAAGATCCTGTCTCTAAAAAACAAAGAATGACACATAATAGAATATATACTTGAAAATAAATGTCTATATATACATATAACAATACATCCATATATATTTTTGCATGCACATACATACCTACAAAACCTACATGTAGGCTGGGTGTGGTGGCTCACTCCTGTAATCCCAGAACTTTGGGAGGCCGAGGCGGGCAGGTCACTGGAGGGCAGGAGTTCGAGACCAGCCTGGCCAACATATTGAAACCTCATCTCTACTAAAAATACAAAGAATTAGCAGGACATGGTGGTGTGCACCTATAATCCCAGCTACTTGGGAGGCTGAAGCAGGAGAATTGTGTGAACCCAGGAGGCAGAGGTTGCAATGATCTGAGATAGCACAGCTGCAATCCAGCGTGGGCGACACAGTGAGACTGCATCTCAAAAAAAAAAAAGCCTACATGTATAATATATCCACATACATATATATGCATTTAAGTAACCCACATACATATATTGTGACATGTATACATGTATACATACAATGCACATATAACCATGAATATATTCGATGTTTGTTACGTATAGATATCACACAGAGATATCATAGTAATATATGCTACACATACATGTGCACATTCATATAGATTAAATGAATACAAATTGAAGCATCTTTTTTTTTTTTTAACTCAGATTTTTCCAGGTAAAGTAAATTGTCTCAAGGTCCCTGGCCCAGGTCTGAGTGTTACTACCAGAATGATCCACCAGATAGCGCTCCTTCCCCACTTCCTGTACTTCCAAGTGTTGCCAGAGATGTCGCCTATTTCCGCTAAAACTCGCAGAGCCAGGAGTTCCCTTGGCGCTTCCCCGCACGCCACCGCTCGCGCCCTCCCCCCAGCCCCCACCAGCGTGGTGAGCGTGTCCTCGGTCCCCAGGGTCTGCAGTCTTGGCGCTCTCTGGGTCGGGTTTATCTTTCCGGCTTTCAGGCATCTTTTTGAGGGTCGCTCTCCGGCTTCGAGCTCCAGCTCTGCTCAGTGCGCACAGCGACCCCCGGTCACCAGAGCCCCAGGGGCTGGGTTTCGCTCGGACACCCTCGGTTACGCAGCACCGTTGCGCAACCCTTCTTTGGCTTCTTCGCGGTTACAAGCATCCAGACGAAGCGGCCCGCCTCCTCATGACAGCCCGAGGAGGTAACCCGCGGTGGTCATTTGCAGACAGCCCCCTCTGGCTTCCTCTTCACCCCCTGCCCTAGGTGGAGGAGAGACGCACGCCCAGCCCGGCTCAGCTAAAAGCTGGGCGAAGGGCCCGGCTGAGACCTGGAAGCCTAGGCTTGGGAGGGGCTGGTCCGAGGAACCCTTGCTGCCCCGGTTGGTCCTGGCTCCTATGAAGAAAGCGCATTCCAGGGTTCCTGGAATTGCGGGCTATACTTTCAAGCGGACTATACTTAAAATCTCGGAGTGGGGGAAGCAGGGTGCGACTGAGCCTCTCCCGCCTTCAGGCCTGGGCAACTCTGGGTTAGAGCTCCTGGAGCCTCACATCTCGGGTGTGAGCAACCTAGGACACAGAACGCGGGGATGGCTTGGAAGCCCGTGGGGAGGCGAAGCCGGGAGTTCTGGCAGCGGCTCAGCCTCCCCATCCTCCTCCTTCCCCCTCCTCTTCCCTCCCCCGGGAGCAGCAGGAAATTATTTATTAAAACGCTGCCCGCGCTCTCATTTATTTGCGGTGAATAATCCTCGGCATCTCAGCACGTTTATTAAACCTTTCCCGTCCCCGCGCCCGCATTACTTTAATAATAAATCGCGTGTCACTTTCCAGCGACGTTATTAAAGCGGGTCCGCTGCAGCAGAGGCGGGGTGCGGGGAGGGAGGGGGCGGTGGGCAACAGTTCTCCCATTCCAGGCTGTGGGGCTTGAACCAGCAGAGCGGTGGCGGGGGAGGGGAACTGAGGCTGCTACGAGGCTGCTCCTGAACACCTACAAAGTCGGCTAACGCGATCTAGGAGTAAGGATTCCCCCGGGACCTACATGACCCTCTCTGGTGGGGTGGGGCTTTTGGCGAGGAGCCTCTGCTCTGCAGGTGGGCGCGGTAGGAGCTATGGGCCCGCAGAGGGCGCCTTGGAGCCCAGTTCGGCGAAGAGCAAACTAGGGGGCGGATTACCCGGTTGATACTGGGACTTACTCCCATGTCCCCTCTTTCAGCGCCCAGAGGATTCTGGCCACGACGCCGAACAGCACGCCCCACCCCCGCCTACCCCTCTGCTCCTGCTTCGGTGGTCGCCCTGGAATCAGCTACTGGTATCCAACCCGCTTGCGCTGTTGCGCGACTCCAGGGACCGCCTGGCTTCAGCCCGGGTTCGGCAATAAAATCTGTCCCTGGCTTAGAGACCGTGGGCAAGGCAGCAGTAGATGGAGTAGTGCGTAGCCGCAGGAGGGGCGGCCAGGCAAGCCCTTGGGTTGGAGTTCCGAACCACGCCCCTCCCAGGAGACCGGGCTCCCTGCGTTCGGCCCTAGAGGACAAACTGTGACGCGGATCCAAGGGCAGGCCCTCCCGCAGTGGCGCCAGGATCCTGGTGGAGCCCTGGCGTATAGGAGGCCGTTGTTATCCACACACAGCATCTCGGCCTCGCTGACTTACGCTTTCATTCTCTTCTTCAATCATTAAATACACATTGAATCTCACCAGTGTCCCTGGGCTAGGTGAGGAGAATGAGGAAAGAGACTTGGGGAGCCCAAGAATGTGGTTCTGGGAGGGACCCCAAGCCAGATAGGACAGGTCACAATTGGGACAAATAGGAAACAGGCTTACTATGGCTCTGGGTTCTGCAGGGAAATGAGTAGATGCCTATGGGAGCTGGGGAAGGGTATGGACCACACAGGTGACCAAACTTCTGCTCCCCTCTATCCAGTTTATGCTTTCATTTCGGGGGGCTATCCACATAGGCCTGATTCCCCATTCTGCCTGGGGAAGTGTTCGGCGTAAGATGAGCAGAGAAGCAGGTATCTATACCAGCCCCAATGGAGGGCAGACTGGGATTATGCCTTCCCTCCAACCAGATGGCCCCACCTCCCTCCCTCAAAGGCAGGGTAGGCCCAAGTTCAAGCCTTCTCTCTGTACATCTGGCAGGCATGTGCTTAGAGAACAGGCCCTGTAGCTTCTGGAAGCCAGAGTTCTGCTAGTGTGGGAGGCCTCCCAGGGATATTCCATTTTCATGTGCACAACTGCATAAACTGTGTGTGCATCTGTGTGGCCCAGTTCATTAGAAATCTTTATTGATGCCTAGCCCTGTGCTAGGCTTTGCCCAGTACAGAGTGGTATAAGATCTGGAGCTGGCCTCGCCCATCTCTCTGCACTGAACTAAGCCATGCTCCACTGCACTCTCTCCTGTACAAAAGACAGCAGACAGCAAAGAGGACTGCAGTTCGTAGGTGCAACTGGGGCTTAGGAGAGAGGGAAAAGTTCTGGAAGATGACTTTGGGGAAGAGGTAAACAAGCTAGGTAAATGTTGGGGACCAGGAAAGAGCAAGAACCAGGGCCTGGGAGGAAGAGCAGTTAGAAGAGTGGCTGAGCAGGGCTGGAAGAAGTGGAAGATCCTGGTGCCTGCACCTCTTGTGTCTGCTCCAGCCCCCACCCCAGCCTGGGGAACAGTCTGTTGGAGGTCCTACTGGCCAGGGCATCTCCTGCACGGGCTCCTCTGTACCCCACAGCTCCTGGTCTCAGCCTCTCTCCCTATCGTCCTCCAGCTTTTCTCTCTCCCCTACCACCCTGCTACCTTGGAGTCAAGTAGGCCTCCCATGATCACCCCTACTGAGAGCATGAAAGCAGTCCATGAAGGGACCCTGCTCCCCTTTCCAGGCATTTTCAAGAGCAGGGATGAACACTATAGGCGCTCACCCACCCCCATGGGCCAGAACTCTGGATCTAGTAGTAATCACTCTCTTCACTTTCAGCCTCCTCCTCAGGAACCAGGTTTAGTGATCGCAGCTGGGGGATTCCTGTAGAGTTGAGCTGATCTGCAAACATACATGGGCAAAGGACAGAGAACAGGAGAGAGGGGCTGTCATTGCCCACATAGCTCAGTCTGCAGAAGGCTATGCTTGTGTATGCACCCACAGGCACAGAGACACATGGATTGCTTTTTATGCATTCACAGCTGGAATCCAGAACCATCCCTCCCAATCCCCAGAGCTCAGGGATCCCCTTACCAGGTGTGAGCACTGTCAAGCTAGCAGGGGCCTCCACCTGACCCAGGGCATTGCGGGCAAGGCAGCGGTAGGTGCCCTCGTCGCTGGGACGCACAGCTTGGATCTGCAGCCAGCCAGTCACCTCAAACCTCTGGGGTCCACCCCTAAACTGGAGCCAGGAAAGGAATCAGCAGGGTCCTTCTGGAGGGCCCTGGGCTGCCTGAGGGGAGCCTCTCCCACCGGTGTCTACCTGCACGGAGATGTGGGGGTCATCCCCTGGCAGCTGGATGTCCAGGCCATCTTTCCTCCACTCAATGGAGGCCATGGGGTAGGCAAACACCTCACAGCCAAAGATCACATCCTGCCCTGTCACATTCCAAGTGTCATAAGGATGCGACAGGATCTGGGGCCCTGGGGATGAAGGTGGGATATCTGAGAACAGCATGGCCCAGCAAAGGCATCTGGTCCGGCAAAGACATGATACACAAATTTTTGTTGACGTGCTTGTGGCAGAACACAATATATGCTGATGTAAATACATCCATAAACACACCATGACACACACAGGTACACACAGATGTGGGATGCAGGTACACACAAGGGTATCACGCAGATGTGGAGATGTACATGCACATGTGCACACAGAACCTTATGCAGATGCAATGCACAAACAAGCGCACACACCTACACTGTATCTTGGCAGCCACTCTGTCCCCAACTGTTCCCCTGTCCTCATTCCACCCTCCCCAGCCTTTCCTGCAGTGCCAGTAACCAACACCTCCAGGCCCCCCTTCCCCCTTTTCTAAACAGGCCAGTTCCCAAAAGCCGGAAGAGCAGCTGTTCCCTCCACCGCACCCCCTGGGGGTGTCCCCCCGGGCAAGGCCGAGAAGCTGAAGCTGAACTCTCGCGACAGGCAGGAAGCCTGCAGGAGAGCAGGAAATTGTTGGGACCCTGCAGAGTGTTTGTTTTCTGGCTGCCCCAGCCAAGCCAGACCCAGAGCCAGGGCTCAGGAAGTGAAAGTTACTAAAGCTGCCAAGGAAAACTAGAGGCCTGAATGTCCCCCAGTCCCTGGGGATAGACAGAGAGAACTAGCTGAGCTCCCCGCTCCCATTCACTAATCCCTAAACGCAGGAGAAAAGAGAGAGGTGGGGAGACTGGGTGAACAGACTGCTCTAAGAATCTGCCCAAATGAAACATGATTGCATCTCACAGGAACCCGTCTTGCTGCCTGGACTCCACTGGTCTGGGAAAAGTGTTAGGGTCTCAGAGTCAACCACAGGCTATGTGCCAGCACCCTCAGAGGACCTGTCCCTCCCTGCCAGCCAGCTCTGGAGCTTTCACGTGGTTCAGCGCATGCGGCTTGCTGAGGAAGCCTGGGACCCCCACTCCACTCCATCCCCCACCCCCACCTTCAGGAGGCAGCTTCTATGGACCAGTAGCGAAAGCAGGGTTTTATACTGGACTCCAGACCTCTACGGCCTTATCTTTTTTGCTCTGCTGGCCCGAGACCAATGTCGTCTGTGGTCGGGGAGCAGTGCCTCCAGGAAGCTTAAGTGTTGGGGGTGGAGGCCCCGGGTCGTTCGTACCCGATTCGCAGGGCCCCGGGTGTGCCACAGTGAGGTTGGCATCGGGCCGAGCTCGGGCCACCTCCTGCAGGCGGCAGATCTGGGCGTAGGTGTGACCGTCGGACCCGCAGAGCGGGCGCTGCGAGCGACAGGCACACAGCGGTTCTGGCACCTCTCCACGGCTCAGGTCGCCGCCTGTGTCCAGCCGGCACTCAAGCTCCTCGCCGCAGCCCCCGTAGAAGTGAGCATTGGGGTCAAGGTCGCAGAGCTGGCCCTCGAGGTTGGCGCATTCCCAGCAGCAGCCGCATGGGTCACGCACCAAGCCGGCCAGGCAGCCCCGCGGCGCGGCGCACTCCTCTGGCCGGCAGGGAGCGCAGCCCTCGCCCTCCGCTAGCAGCCGCAGCCAGCCGCGCTGCAGGTAATCGGGGCCTGGGGACGGCCTTGCGCCGGTCGGGGACGGCGTCCGCACCACCAGCAGTAGCAGGAGCAGAGGCAGCGCCAAGGCAGCTGCGGGCAGCGGCGGCATGGTTAGCTGGAAGCCCTGCGAGCACTCGGAGCATCAGCGCGTTCTCGGCACCCTGCCAGGAAGGGAAGCCAGGTCAGGAGGTCAGAAACAGGGCCTGTGCCGAAAGACCAACCTCACAACGTCTTATACCAAAGCATGACGCTAGCATCGCCTCCTTCCCTGCTACCAAGTTGACTCCCCCAACACAAAGGCCTAGTGACCCTCTAGGGATTATCCAGTTGTGGCAGTTGGCAATCAGTTGGGCTGTTGGTGGGGGGGTCTGGGAGTGAAGAGAGGTGAGGAAGGATGATAAGGCTCAGGAGCGCGCATGCACACCCACCGCCAGCACCACTTCTGTTCACCATCCGACTCCGATGCCCCTGAGCATCCTTGCCCGAAGAGAATCGACGGCTCCAGAAGAAGCTGTTAATGGGGGGTGGGAACTGATGCCCCCTCGTGTATGGCCTGGGGCGCAGGGTGCTCACCTAGTATCCTGGACTACGCCCTTCGGAGAAGCTATGATTCGAGTCCGAAAGAGAAGATGATGGAAAGAAAGCAGGGGTGCAGTCAGCCGGGCCCGCCAGCCACCTCTGCTCCGGCCTGAGGACTTCTGAGAGAGTCCACGGACTTGGATTCAGAAAGCAGCTCCTCCGCCCCCCTCTCTCCGCCCCTCGATGTCGCGCACCCGCCTTCCCACTAGTTCTAAGGCTGCCAATTTTATGCAGCCGCAAGGGACCCTCCTGGGCCATTTCCCCCAGCCTGGCCCAAAGTCACAATGCAAGCAGAGGAGCCGTAACCAGACACCGAGGCTGGGAGAGAGGAAGGGGATGAGGACCGGAGGCGGGGAGTGGGGGTAGGAGTTTGGCTGGGAAGCTCAAAGCGTTGGGTGAACCACTAGGCCTCGTCACATCTAACTTTACAGTCCCTGGCGTCGGCGAGGGCAACTGCATTAGGCGGAGGCGGCAGGAGCTCTGGTGCCAAGTCATTTTACGTCGATGTCGGGGCGCTGTTGGAGGGCAGAACCAACCAACTTCGTCTCCCCGCAGCCCAGGGCTGGTTGCTGGGAGCGACTGCAGGCTTGCCCACCCAGCTGCCCTACCGAGGCGCGGACAGAGTGGGCGCCTACATCTGACTTCCCTCATCTGGCCTCCTCCTTCCTCCTCACATCCGGCAGGTGCTGCGACCCGCAAGTGAGCCGGGTGATTTGAGGTCGGAGGCGACCAGCGGCCGCAGGGAGCAGCGGGCTGGCGCCTCCCCGGCGGACGTCCCTCAGGTCGGGATTACAGGTTATGATTGTGAGGCTGGCAGGGCCGGAGGCACTCAGCCTCGCGGCCGCCACCACCGCCACCGTGGCACTTTGGGGCGGGGATGAGAGCATTCCTAGGGACCCGCCCGCCAAACCCGGGTCGGCCAGGCCCCGCCCCGGCCGGTCCCGCGCGGCTCACTGAAGCTGCGGCGCAGTCCATATCGCAGAGGGCGGAGAATGCAATCTGCTGCCGTCGAGGGGGCGGCACTTAGTCAGGCTCCGCCCACAAGGCCAGGCTGCGGCACCCTTCAGCCCGCGCGAGATCGGCTCCGCATGCGCACTGGAGCCCCGGTGGTCCAGCCTGGACTCTTTGAAGAGTGCTTCTGAGCTTGGCCAAGCCCTTTTGGGCTGCCGAGCCACGCAGGCGCCATCGTTGGCCAGAGGGGTTTTGAGGATGTGGGCAAGGGCAGATATTCTCTCCCAGTCTCCAATTCGAAAGAGGGACGAGAAGGGAACTTCACGCGAGGTCCTCGCAACTGTCGCGAGAATCAGAACAGGAACTCTAGGAACCGAGAACTCTAAGAGCCCGCGGATTTTAAACAAGAAAAAGAAAGGGCGGAGCCAGCTCTGGCTTGTAGTTGTGAGTAATCCCTGGTCCTTGGCCTTCAAGGCAACTGAAGTGGCGACCTAGGCAGAAGGGTAACTGTCAGAGAGCTGCTGGAAACCCTGAAAAAAGGCCAGAGACGGGGACTTCTGGGGCTGACGAATGGAGTTACCCAAGGAGAGGTCTCTGGGGACGGAGCACCTTGGGTAACTGGAGCTACAGAACAGAAGCAAGTTCGGGACGTCTTAATGAATTGCTCCCGGCTTCTAAGACCTGGAGCCGATATTTCAACAACAAACTCCACAGACCTAGAAACTCTTCACTTTTCCACTATTGTAGCTGGTTGCTTAATTTCAGTCTTTGCTATGCTCTAAGCTTCTGGTAGGAATCGTGCCTAACTCACTACTGTATTTTGTGAACCTAGCCCCGTGCCTGGTGGCATGGCAAATTCTTGGTAAATATTTGTGGATTAAATGTGAGTGAGACTGCCTGAGTGTTTAACCTGGATTTTCTGAGTCGCTGATAGAGAACAGTAGACAGGGAACCGGCGCCCTCTGGTGGGCTAGTGGTTATTGACGAGAACATCCTTGAACCATGCATCGAGGTAGGCACAAATATAATAAAAGGGGATCCGCTGTTATTAAGTAGAGGTTTTGTTCCAATAAGACCCCACAAACGGCCGGGCGCAGTGGCTCACGCCTGTAATCCCAGCACTTTGGGAGACCGAGGCAGACGGATCAGCTGAGTTTGGGAGTTCGAGACCAGCCTGGCCACTGCTGGTCCAGCCTGGGCGACAGAGCAAGACTGTCTCCAAAAACTGAAAATAAAAAATAGAATTTTAAAAATAAAAGAATGAAAAGGGTCCTATACATATGAACAACAGAAGATGAAACAGGACATACAGAGTCATTGTGTAACTTGGTTAAAAAAAAAAAGAAATTAAAGGATCCACATATTTTAACCTGCTACTTCATGAACTCTGTTTTGAAACAGCTAGTGAAAATAGTAGAGTTGCAACTCTGAGGAAGAAGCAGGAGTGAAACAGATGGTCCATACTGACCTATTAGAGATGGATACAGAGGAATTGGGTTTCCTTTGAAGATTAGAATTGGTTAAGTCAAAAAAAAGCTCAACATAGATGATTCAAGTGGAATACTTTGTAGCTACCTACTGGGACAAATAGGCGAAGTCAAAGAAAATAATGTATGTAGTTCAAAAAAAGATGAAAAGTACCTGTGGAAAAATAAGGTTAAGAGAAAATGAGGACCCGGTGTGGGGGCTCACGCCCGTAATCCCAACACTTTGGGAGGCCAAGGTATGCCCTTCACCTGAGGTCATGGGTTCAAGACCAGCCTGGCCAACATAGAGAAACCTTGTCTCTACTAATAATACAAATATTAGCTGGGTGTGACGGTGCATGCCTGTAATCCCAGCTGCTTGGGAGGCTGAGGCACGAGAATCGCTTGAACCCCAGAGATGGAGGTTGCAGTGAGCCCAGATCACACCATTGCACTCCACCTGGGGCAACAAGAGCGAAACTCCATCTAAAAAGAGAGAGATAGAGAGAAAAGGAGAAGTATATGGATACTGATCACAACTGTATATATATTTATCATCTATATCACCGATAAACACCCTAAGAGAATTTGGAATGAGGCTGACTAATGGTTGAGTGTAATACTCACTACTCCTTTATTTTATAAGGTTGTTATTATTATTATTTGAGATGGAGACTAGCTTTGTCACCCAGGCTGGAGTGTAGTGGTGCAATCTCAGCTCACTGCAACCTTGGCCTCCCAGGTTCAAGCGATTCTCCTGTCTCAGCTTCCTGAGAAGCCGCCAGCTTATTTATTTATTTATTTAAGTAGAGACAGGGTTTTGCCATGTTGGCCAGGCTGATCATGAATTCCTGGCCTCAAGTGATCTGCCCACCTCAGCCTCCCAGTAGAGGCTATTTTTATATGTAAATTAGAATGTCAAGATAAATGTAGCAAAGTTGGGACAGCCAGGTAGAAAGATTGGCTGGGTGTGGTGGTTTACGCCTATAATTCCAGCACTTTGGGAGGCCAAGGTGGGTGGATCACCTGAGGTCAGGAGTTTGAGACCAGCCTTGGCAACATGGCAAAACCCCGTTTCTACTAAATATACAAAAATTAGCCCAGCATGGTGGCATGTGCCTATAATCCCAGCTACTTGGGAGGCTGAGACAAAAGAATTGCTTGAACCCAGGAGGCAGAACTTGCAGTGAGCCGAGATCACACCATGTATTCCAGCCTGGGCAACAGAGCAAAAATCCATCTCAAAAAAAGAAAAAGGAAAAACGTAATTCAGCTACAAGTAGTGTTAAAAATGAAAACTGGGCCGGGCGCAGTGGCTCACGCTCGTAATCCCAGCACTTTGGGAGGCCGAGGCGGGTGGATCACGAGGTCAAGAGATCGAGACCATCCTGGTCAACATGGTGAAACCCTGTCTCTACTAAAAATACAAAAAATTAGCTGGGCATGGTGGCGCATGCCTGTAACCCCAGCTACTCAGGAGGCTGAGGCAGGAGAATTGCCTGAACCCAGGAGGCGGAGGTTGCGGTGAGCTGAGATCGCGCCATTGCACTCCAGCCTGGGTAACAAGAGCGAAACTCTGTCTCAAAAAAAAAGAAAAAAAAAAAAAAAAATGAAAACTGGACTAGCCAGGAACTGGCTCTTGAATACCTCGACATTAAGGCAAGTTGAATAAGCCTCAAGACATCTAGAAGGAATCAGGCCTCGGTATACCTTCCTGTATCTCAGAAGGCAACCCCTCCCTCCCCACACCCACCTTCAGTATCCCATTGACCATTGAGATGGCAACTATAGCTCCATGCAACCTGATAACTTGGCCAAATGTTGTATTGATAAACTTAGAAAAGATGCTTAAATCATTCTACATGTAGATTATTTCTACATTTCTTTTTCTTTTCTATTTTTTTTTGAGACAGAGTTTCACTCTTGTTGCCCAGGCTGGAGTGCAATGGCACGATCTTGGCTCACTGCAACCTCCACCTGCCCTAGATAACCTTTTTTTTTTTTTTGAGATAGGGTGTTTTTCTCTGTTGCTCAGGCTAGAGTGCAGTGGCACGATCATGGTTTGCTGCAGCCTCAAACTCCTGGGCTCAAAGGATCCTTCCACCTCAGCCTCCCAAGTAGCTGGGACTATAGGCACACCACTGTACCTGGCTAATACTTTTATTTTTGCAAAGACAAGGTCTTACTATGTTAACCAGGCTGGTTTTGAACTCCTGACCTCAAGCAGCCCTCCCACCTCAGCCTCCCAGATTGCTGGGATTATGGATGTAAACCACTGTGTCTGACCAATAACCACTTTTAACTCTATAATTTTACCTGGTTTTGACATTTATATAAATTGGGACATGCCTAGGATTGGAATTACTGCTTCATGTGATATGCATATTCAACATTAGAAGATTTTTTCTTCCTTTTTTTTTTTTTTATTTTGAGAAACAGGGTCTCACTCTATCTGGGCTAGTCCCAAACTCCTTGGCTCAAGAGATCCTCCCACCTCAGCCTCCCAAAATGCTGGGATTATCAAGATTAGTATATTACTGTACATTTTTTCCAGTGTGACTGTATGAATTTATATAGTCTTCAGCAGCTTCTGAAAGTTTTCATTACAACACATCCTTGCCAAGAGTTGATACTGTTATTGTTCTTTTAAATTTTAGCCATTACGTAAAAAATTTTGGAGCCTAAAATTTTTTAATGGCCAGTTCTGCAAGGATTTCCCCCCTTGGATTTTTTTTAAAAAAACCTTTTATTTTGAATTTTAGACTTGGATAGAAGTTGCCAGAATAGCAAAGAAAGTTCTCATGTACCTGTCACCTAGCCTACCCTGGTGATAACATAATATCTTATATAACCATGGTATAATGATCAAAACCAGGAAATTGAAATTTTTACAGTACTGTTAACTAAAGAGTGGACCTTATTCGGATTTCACTGGTTTGATACTACGTGTGTGTGTGTATTTGAAACTTTATTACATGAATAGACTTGTGTGACCATGAGGTGAGTAAATGGGCCTTCAGGGGTATGACAGGGTAAGCTGATGGCAAGGGAAAGCTAGTAGACTCTATAGTACTAAACACAATGTTATTTAATATATGAGTTGCTTTTAAAAATATTATATCAAAAGTCAGTGATGGGAAATACAGCTAGTTACTGTAGCTAAACACCCACACAACTGGATGCAGTGGCACGTGCCTGTAGTTCCAGCTACTCAGGAGGCTGAGTCCAGGAGTTTAAGTTTGGCCTGAATGAAATAGCAAGATCCTGTCTCTATAAAAACAACAAAAAGCTGGGCGCAGTGGTTCACGCCTGTAACCCCAGCACTTTGGGAGGCCAAGGTAGGCGGATCACCAGATCAGGAATTCAAAACCAGCCTGGCCAGCATGGTGAAACCCCGTCTCTACTAAGAATACAAAAAGTAGCCAGGCATGGTGGCATGTGCCCATAATTCCAGCTACTCAGGAGGCTGAGGCAGGAGAATCACTTGAACCTGGGAGGCGGAGTTTGTGGTGAGCCGAGATGACGCCACTGCACTCCAGCGTGGGCAACAGAGTGAGACTCAGTCTAAAATAACAAACAAAAAATCCCACTCTCACACACTGGCACACACACATACTCTGCATCTACCTTTGGGGGAGCTGTGCACATGGGTAGAGTTCCAGGGTTGAAGTTCACTTTGCATTATGACACACTCAGAAGGAAAGATAAGTTTCTGCCTTACATCCAATTTTACTTG